CGTCAGAGCCATGGGTTTACGGTGATGTTAAATCTATTGGCATATTAAAAGTACATCAAGGACAAATTATCCTTGACTGGTAGCTGAAATATTAAGCTAATAAACAAAATAAAGATTTCTTGATAAGGTTTTGCCTTATAGTAATTCAACTTACAATTTTCTGTATCACAAGGGGTAACTGAAAATCCACCTCCAGAAGGCAAGATGCATGGGTGATAGCCACTTGCTGATGATTTTGGCTGCAATTGCACTTGTAGTTCCCGTCACTGTTGTCCTTCACCTGTCACCATAAGCTGGCATGCCAAGGTCTGCTGCCATCTTTAGATCTGTGTCTTTCTCCAAGCATGCATGTGTGTGTGATGTATCTGTTTATCTTACCCTTTCCATATTCTTAGCATTTTGTGAGAATTAAAATAAATGTAACACCACATCACACTTTTCTGACATGTATGTTTGCAGAACTGCTCAGCTTAAAACCAGAAGAAGATTTTTACATTCCCTGGGGCTGACTTTATCTGGCCAAAATTACTTGGTAGTGCTTAGAACATCTGAATTTCTATTACTTTATCAGTGTACCTCACTAATGATCTAGCCTAATTTGCATACCAGTAGTACTTTTTCACCATAGGTAGGAAATTGAAACGTTCAAGGTCAATTAACTGCCAATATTTCCTGTTGCTGAGTGTCCCTGCAGCAGTGGGCTGAGCTGGGAAGAAGGAATGGTCACCCGTCAACTCCTCTTGGTCCTGATGAGAACTGATGGTCCGATTGGCACTCACTGGAGCCCCACTGATTCTTTGTACCTTGCTGTGCTTCTCTCGTTGGTTTGCTTTAAAAAATACTTTATCTCTGCGCTGAAATGCCTGAGAAATGTGAAATTTCCAACTAAGAAAAGTACCCTCATTACTAAAGTTTGACTCTTAAAATTAACTACAAAGAACAAGGAATGAAATATCATTTTCTCAGAGCTCCAAAAGTGCAAAGATTAAACTTAGAGGTTGAAATGACTGGTTGGGGGCACTTCTTTCATTATTTCCTCATTTTCCTTTCTGGAAAAAAAAAATGATGAAAACAAGATGGGCAGCTGGAGCCATCAGAGAATTGAGGGTGCTTGGTTAGTGTCAGACCCCAGACTTTTGATATGGCTAGATCACGTGATACAACAGTGGGCTTGGATAGGACCCTGGAAGGAACTAGCACCTGTTCGCCATCCCCATCACGATTCTGGCATGCTGCAGCTTTAGCCACATGAGGGCCATTAATCCTACTGCCTGGTGCCAAGTCCTGAGGCTCCCTGATCCCACATCTACAGGGAACCATGGACATCCATCATGTCCTTCTGAGAGGCACTGATGCGTCCAGGTTCAGAGCCCCGAGCCTCTTACCTACTTCATGCACAAAGACAAGGTGTTCAAATTCTTCTGACTCATCATCTCCTAGTAGCAGCTTTGAGAACAGGCAATGTCTTGCAGGAGTGCCTGACACCTTGTACTCACGGACTCAATCAACCGTAAGCAGTAATGTAGCAAAGTGGCCAGAAGAAGGTGGTTGTTGTTCCAACAGATTCTAAGAAATGAGCCACGGATTTTAAAATGATCCAAGAGAGAATCCAGCGGAGGTGCAAGCAATACTGGAAAAATTAAGATTAAAAATAAGCCAAGTAATGCTGCAGTTTGAATTCAAACGAGAGGTAGGGTGTAGGCCTTCTATGTTTGGAATGGAAGACACTGTGGAACAGTGATTTGGTTGAAGTGAGAAGGACGTTTGAAGAAAGTATCTAATTCTCAAGACAGTACAGTCAGGAACCTTGGGAATTAAGTCCTTGTGCTTGCTGTAGTATGACATGCTAGAGAGAGAACTCTGTTGTGTAACTTCTGAAAAGATGTCATTTTGACTCCATTTTGAAGCCCTGGCTAGATTTGGAGGAGTTTACACTATCAATACATCACCACATCCTTTTAAAATTCTCACTCTCAGGGTTGATAGGACCAGCAAATAGACAACTCAGGTTAGCTCCTTGTGTTCCAGAACCTTCTGGAGATGCCATTCAAATGAGCTGATCCACAGGGGACCTCTCTAAGCCACCCACATGCCACAGGTGAGCTGTGTCCTACAGCTCACCTTATTATCTGATTCCTGAATGCAACACCACACGTGTGGCTGGCCTGGTGGCCTTCTGTTGTTGGGAGATGCATGTCAAAATGAGTTCTGCCTTTCATCTATCCCAGGACTCCTGGGCTGTGTTCCACCATCAGAAGAATCTTTAAACCTCATGAACCAGTTGTCCACACAGGTGTGTCCCCTCAGGTTTCACAGCGGCATGCCAGCCAGCATAACAGAAAACATTCATTGAGCATGTCTTTGAACTAGGGCCTGTACTCAAGGTCTCCTAAAACAAGGTAATGATTCCAAAACAATGACTGAGTTAAAAACTGCACAGAAATCAATAATCATCTTTCTCTAAAATTCTAGTGATTAGTATTAAAACCTGTCAAAGAATAGGGAAAAGAAACCCAATGTTCTTTGGCAGGGGGAGGCTGTTATGTAATAGATGCTTCATTGTAAATTATTTACTCAACTATTTATTTAAAAAGCAGAGAAAGAAATAAAGAGGAAGGGAGAGGGGGCAGGTTATGGATGGAGGGCGAGAGCAAGAGAGAGAGAATCTCCTATCCATCCATTGGTTTACTCCCCAAATACCCACGAACAGCTGTACCTGGGACAGGTCCATGCCTGGAGTCCAGGACTCTGCAGGTCTCAACATGGCGGGAAGGGACCCAGCTACTTGAGCCATTACTTGCTGCCCCACGGAGTGCATCATCATGTCAAACTGGAAGCAGAGCCTGAACTCAAACACTCTGATAGGAAACACAGGCATCTCAATGTCTTAGTCCTTATGCCAAACTCCAACCTTAAATGCTGCGTTTTAACAGACTCCGGATGTCAGATAAGGACAGATTCAAGAGGATGTCAAGCCTGATTTCATGACTTTTTCAATTATTATGTTTTACATACATAAATACCAATGTCAATATTAAGCTTCTCAAAATTCTTCCAACTTATGTTGAACTGGAATAATGAACTGTTTTTTTTTTTCTTAGTGGATTTCAAATTGCTTGATAAAAATGGAAATAAAAGATACATTTATTTTGGTACAAAAAATGTTTGAACATGTGCTTGTGAAAAAAAACTATGATCTCAAAATATTGCACCAAGAGAATCTACCTTTAAATTTCATTTTCCCATGAACTTTTTTATGTAATGTTTTTTATGCAGATGGAAGAGATCTCTCTATGTCTTTCTCTTTCTCTCTCTCTCTGACTTTCAAGTAAATAAATACATCTTTGGAAAAAGAAAGCATTTCATTTCAAAGAAATTTAGACTTACAAATAAAAAATTGTGCAGTAGTACAGAGTTCTCACGCTCCACTGTTAACATTAGTTGCATTAGTATATTTTTCACAATCTATAAACTCTCCCAGCTTTCCCTACTATTAACATATCATATTAGAATTATGTATTTGTCACAATGAATCAAGCATGCTAAGGTCTGTAGGAGGAACATCTATGATATTCTAGTGTGCTGAGTGACATGGAAACAGTGCCATCTATTTTATCATACAGCTTTGAACACACAGCAGACTGTTTTTTTCTACTTGCAGGGGGTCAAATACAACTTGCTGCATGATGCTTTCCATGGCTCTCTTTCCCCTCTCCCTTTCACTTGCTACTATCCCTCATCCAGGTAGGATGGAGCCAATAGTGTGTTGATAAACTATCTTGGGATGGGGACAAGGGCTTGTTTATAGAGTTTCTGTTACTGAAGACTTCCACCCTGGCCCATTGCAGATATGAATGTTTCATAACTGAGTCAGAAAACTGAAACATGAACTGTTATCTCTCATATACTGTTATAAGTCAGCTCCAACCCACCATTGAATAGAACTCTACAACTTTTGTTGTGTTACAGCTCTCTGTACATCTTTGTTGTCATTGTTCATGTGTTTTATGTATTTTTTTAAAGATGTGCTTATTTATTTTGAAAACCAGAGTTACACTTAAATAGCAGAATGTTGGACTTGTGACTGTTGCTAAAGGACTATACTATTGTAATAATTTGGAGAAAATGACGGGGGAGGGCAGAGAATGGGGAGGAAGGAAGAAGAGGGGTAAGGAGGAATCCCTCACCCTACAAAACCATATTATGGAAAATAACAATAGCAATAAAAAATACCAGAAAAAAAAAAGCGAAAGTTACAAAGAGAGAAACCTTGATTTTGTATCTGCTGGTTCATTCTTCAAATGGCTACAGTGGTCAGTGCTGGCCTAGACTGAAGCCAGGAGTCAGGAGTTTCACTCAGGACTCCCATGTGTGTGGGAAGCAGGAATCTGAACACAGGGGCCAACTTCTGCTGTCTCCTAGGCCGTTTGCTGGGAGCTGGGTCGGAATTAATTCAGCTGGGACATGTACTGGCATCGCAGGTGGCAGCAAATCAGGACTCTGCTTGTGTTTTGGATAGCTTTTTCTTAATACCTGATACCTTCATAAGATTGTAAACACTTTGAGAGCAAGAACTTTTTAACTGTGTTTCATTTCCACATTTTAACCACATATCCCACCCTTCTCCAAGAATTCTCAACAGGGTCAGAGATAATCGTCCAGTGTGACCAGAACTAGAAGTCATTCCCTGTAACAACCCTGGGCAAAGGGATTGAAGTCCAAACCATTATGCCTTTGTATGTGTGTGTACAAAGCATTCTAATCCCAGGGTTGATGAGTTTGTGCAAGTATTTAGCTAAGCACTTAGAAGGTTCAGGGAAACCTCTCTCCTCTCCCAACTTTTCCTCCCCTCACCTTCCCTTTCTTTCCTTTTCTTTGAAAATTTGGCTTTCTCAAGTACCAGGAAAAGGAATTGTGGTTTTTTGTGGCATTTTGACTCTTAAGTTGACTTGTAACTAATGATTCTTTCTCCCTTTCCTCCTCCCCTGTTTTCACAAAAGGAGCTGGAGGCTGGTCTCCACTTGTGTCGAACAAATACCAGTGGCTGCAGATTGACCTTGGAGAGAGGATGGAGATCACCTCTGTGGCCACCCAGGGGGGCTATGGGAGCTCCAACTGGGTGACCAGCTACCTCCTGATGTTCAGCGACAGCGGCAGGAACTGGAAGCAGTATCGGCAAGAGGACAGCATCTGGGTAAGTCTCTGCAGCCAGTGGCACTCTTGTGGGGTGAGAGGTGCAGTTCCTGCTGCCTGCTACTCATCAGCTGCTTCCAGGAAGCCAAGCTGCAAAATCTTTCAAAATACTTTGAAAGTATCTTTTAAAAGAAGACATGATACATCTTCATCTCTTATCATATTCCATGACAAATGTATGAAAATTTCAAAAGTAAATTCATTTCACTGGGTCATAACAAATTAAAGACAAAAATTTTGGTAGCCCCATTAAACACTGCTGACATCTGATAAATAAACAAAACTTGTATAAAAATAATTCTAAGCTTGGTTGAGAGACTTGGTAGTTCTACATTGGCTTTATTTCCAGTTATTTCTTTTAATGGATCTGAGATTTTTGAAACCATCTTTACTATATAGTGGATTTTATATATGATAATTGGAGTTAACATATATATGTGTGTGTTTCTATATGCATATGTGATTATAGTATATACTCCTAACACACATATCATTTATTTATGGTCTTGTGAAAGTGGGTAGAAAACTCTCTGTTGCTAAAAGGGGTGAAATCCGCACAAGGGAGCCTGGAAAGAGGTGGGCTGTAATCAGGGGGTAACATGGGTGTAATGGACTGACAGCTTTCCAACACCCAATGGAACACAGAAGCTAAAGGAAATTTGCCTGTTGATGAAGAAAAGACTTCTTTGTTAGTATAGAAAAGCATTTGTTTGGATTTTACATGGTTCAGGGGCAATATACTGCAATCAGAAAACTATTTTTCGCCCCCTCTGGTTAAGTTTCCAGAACCAGAGAGATAAGTAAACTAATGAAGCATCATGCTTAACACAGAGATAATTTGGAAGCTTGTTTGGGCACATAATGATAATTTTCTCTGACCAGTCAATTGCCTCTTTTTAAAAACTTCCCAGAACTCTGTGACACATTATAAACTCATGGAAGAAATAGGCTGTGGTTTACTCACCTTTGTATTTTTAAAACTCTTGGTGATCATTCAGTTCAAGTTTCTCGATGCAAATTGAGTTGAGAAATAGCTTATTTTGTTCTGTAATGGAGATGGTGAGTTGGAGGCAGTAGTTGCCTACAAACACTTGTGAGAAAAGTGGCTAAAACATCCAAAGCAAGCTGAACCTGTGGTGTAGGAAACGAAGGAGAGGGACTCTTAGTTGTCATGCTTCAGTTAATTCTGAGAAAACCACTGAAGGTAGGGACAAAGTAAGCAGTAATTATGAAGCAGTGACAATCAAAGCTTAAGGAAGTGTTTATTTTCACTGGGTGCTTGGATTATTCTTATTCTTTTTATGAATTAATAGATTTTAAATGAGACAAATGACTAGTACATGTGAGTATTTACCTGTGTTCATTGAAAATGTATGTTTCTGACATTTTAAAAAATGGTATGTTCATCATGAAAAAGACTGGCTTTCCGGGTGTCAGGTTTGGGGAAGCCTCAGACCCAGTCACTGCCATTGGCTGACTCCTGTTGTGATGAGGTGTCAGGGCGGCATGAATGACAGTGTTGTTAATCCCAAGCAGCAAATCATAAATAAAGGGAGCACTTATCACACTGGTTTTCAGATGGTGCTTCCAATTGCGGGTTGACTTACTGTCACTATCTCTGGAGTGAGTGTTCCCTGTTGATGCACACTCCGCCTTCCCAACTTCTGTCCCAGCATCTCCAGAGTGGAATGGTTCCTGGGACATTGCAAACACATCTTTGTTTTGAATCAGTGGATGGAAAAAAATGAAAGAAGGAAATACATCCTTTTGGTAACACACTCTTCCAATCGCACTAAATAAAAATGACTCCCTTTAGCCCTCATAAGGTCATTTTTGGCTTATTTCTGACATACTGATTTAATTTTGAGAGAATTCTTTTCTCTCACTTGTGTTTTTTAAAGATATACAAAATTAGAACTTTTAGCTCCTATGTAAAAAATATGTAGTTTGATATATACATGCATTGTATAATGTTCCAATCAGGGTAAACATATCATCTCTTTATGATGAAAACTTTGGAGTATTTTGGTAAGGAAAGCAGTTATCTGTAATGACCCTACTGCCAAAGAGAACACCAGCACATCTTCCTGCTGTCTTGTCTCTCCTGCCCCACTGTCATTTGTACTCCCAGCTGCTTTGATAAACATTTTTAGATTTCACATGAGTGCAGTAATGGAATGCTTCTCTTTCTGTGTTGGGTTTATTTCATCTGATATCATAACCTTCAGTCCCATCCGTGATCCAGCACATGCCAGGATTTTGCCCCTTTTAGGATTTTGTCCATTTTGCACGTGTACTACATCTTCTTTGCATGTTCAGCAGGTGACAGACATGTAATTTGCTTCCTGTCTTGTCAATTCCAAGTAATTGAGCAAGGAGCATGTGAATTGGAGTTGTTCTACAAGCAGATTTCATTTCCTTTTAATATGTACCCCATGGTGGAGTTGCTGGGTCATAGGGTAGTTGTAATTTTTTGAGGAACTTTGTTGCTATTTTGTGTTCTGGTTTATATCCCCACCTGCACTGTATAGGGGTTCTCACTCCTCCATATCCTCACCAGCACTTGTTGTCACTGGAGTGAGGTTATATTGTAGTTTTGATTTCAATTTTCCTGTTCACTAGAGATGTTTAGCATTTTTTTCCGGTGGACCTGTTAGTACTTTATATTTTTTTCTTGAAAATATTTACATCTATTATGCATTTTTAAATCCAGTTACCTGGGGAAGTTTTTGTTTGTCTGTTGTGTGTTTTTCTGTTGGAACTCCCTATTTATTCTGGTTACTAACCCCTCGTCTGATGGGTGGTTCTCAGATATTCCCCCAGGCTGTGGTTTGATTCTCCCCTCTATTGATTGCTCTCTTTGCTGTGCAGAGGCTTTTTAGTTTGATGAAATTTCAGTTGTCTAGTTCTGCTGTTGTTTCTTGTGCTTTTGGGGCCCTATCCAAAAAATCCTTGCCCACTGTAATGTCCTGAGTATTTCCCCTAGGTATTTTCTTCTACTAGTTTCCTACTTTCAGGTCAACTCAAAATCAATTCTGAGTTGATTTTTGTGCATGGTGAGAAATATGGGTTTAATTTCATTTTTCTGCTTGTGAATGCCCACTGTCCCCAGAACCATCTGTTGAAGACTGTCTCCTCCTTAACACGTGCTTTTAGCTGGCTGCTGAGGTATGGATTTACTGCTGTGCTATCCATTCTGTTCTGCTTTTCTGTGTGATCCCTTTGAAGCCATCACTATGCTATTTAAATCTAGCAGCATGTTATTTAATTTTATGGCATTGTACATATCTATTTTTTTTTTTTGCTATTGTTGATTTGTATTGTGCCTTTTCATTTAAGGGGATGTATGGTAACTGTGTAATGGAGACTATCATATGCAGATGTGAGGATACAATACAGTGTGTGCCTCTATTTCCAGACAAAGATGGACTCCCAATGAAACTGTTTACTATGTCTTGACAATAAGATGCTGGACTCTTTGCCATTGTCCATGCCCATAGTGATGGACATATGACTGTGTATGAAGACTATACCATAGTAATGATATAGGGGAACCCAGTGAAGGGGGAGGGAATTGACAGGGGGTGGGGAATAAGGGAAAATCCAAGGCCTAGGAAACTGTATCATAAAATGATAGTAATAAAAAGAAGTAAAATTTTAAAAAGTTTTAAGTTAGGCAGTGTAATGCCTCTTCCTTATTCATTTCACTAAAGATTTCTTTGGTTATTTGGGGTTTCTGATTCCACGTGGACTTCAGGATTATTTTCTTGGGTTCTGTGAAGACCGCCATTCATGTCTTGACAGTGACTGCACTAATAATTTGTAGATTGACTTGTACGGTATGCACATTTTAGCAGCATCAATTTTTCTAGTCCAAGAACTCTGTTGTCTTTACAATTCAGTGTGTCTTCCTCAGTTTCCTTTGTCTCAATTTGGTAGTATTCATTGTAGAGATCTTTCAATTCTTTGGTTAAATTTACATCTAGATATTTATTTTTTAGTAGCTATAGGAAATTGGGTTTCTCTGTTGATTTCTCTTTCAGATAATTCACCATTGGTGTAATGCTAGTGATTTTTAAACATTAAATGTATTTATTTTATAATTTCATTTATTTTATGATACAGTTACATAGGATCTGGGATTTCCCTTACCACCTCCCTAACACTCCACCCCCCACAGATTTCCCCTGTATCATTACAATAGTATAGTCCTTCATAAACAGTCCTAAATCCATCGTTCTGCAGTTTATGTGTATCCTGACATTGTGGTTATGGACAATGACAGAGAGTCCAGCATCTTATTGTCAAGATACACTTAACAGTTTCATTAGGTGTCAAACTTTTATTTGGAAGTAGAGATACATACTGCATTGTATCTTCACATCTGGATATGCTAGTGTCTATTACACAGTTAAAATACATCTCCTTAAATTAAAAACCACAAAACAAAATAAAAAACAGGGAGAAAAATAGAAAATTAACAACAACATGAAATTAAATAACATGCTACTAAATGACCAATGTATTGCTAATGAAATGAAAATCAAAAAGCTTAAAGCAAAGGATGCTACTGTGTGATCTATGAGTCAGTAGTGAGGAAATTAAGAAGAAAAAAATTTTTTTTGAATGAAAATAGAAACAAAAATTTCAAAACCCCTGAGATGTAGTAAAAACACTATTGAACAGGCTGTTGATCTTATATTTTGCATGAAGGTTGTCTTACATCAGAGAGAGCATATGATATGTGTCCTTTTAGGATTGACTTATTTCACTGAGCATAGTGGTCTCTATTTGGGACCATTTGGTTGTAAATGATAGAATTTCATTCTTAATAATGGCTGGGTGGTATTCCATGGAGTACAAGAACTTATCTATTTATTTGAATGCAGAGTTATAGGGGGAGAGAGGGAGGTAGATATGTTTCAGCTGCTGGCTCACTTCCCCAAGCTGATCAGAAGCTAGGAGCTTCTTTTGGGTCTCCTAAAATGATTGCAGGGGCCC